AATTCTCTATGATGTAATGATTCCGAACATGATAAAATTCTATGTATTATTTGCTCTGTTAGAGGGATTCATATACTAAGGTGTTCAGAGTATTTCTTTTTTTGTACATGATCTAATTGAAAATCTTCAGATGACACAAAAACTACATTAGAAATATTTATTTCATTAGAAGTTTAGATGATGGAGGGTATGCTCTTTTCAAAGATTACTGTTTTATATGCTTATTTGGTCATTCATTATTTCTCTGAATCTTAGAATCTTTTTTTTTTTTTTTTTTTTTTTTTGAGACAGAGTCTCACTATGTCACCCTGGGTAGAGTGCCGTGGCTGCACAGCTCACAGCAACCTCAAACTCTCGGGCTTAAGTAATTCTTTTGCTTCAGTCTCCCAAGTAGCTGGAGCTCCAGGCCCCCGCCAGAACACCTTGCTACTGTTTTTGTTGTAGTTGTCATTGTTGTTTAGCAGGCCTAGGCAGGGTTTGAATGCACCTGATGTATGTGGCCGGCGCTCTAATTCCTCACTTATAGGCACTGAGCCCTTAAAATTTTTTAATAGTAGTTTGGTAACTCATTTTCTTGACTGTAACATAATGAATACCTATTGAAATGGGCTGCTGAATAATGTCTTGGTATTATGACACTGAAGAGTCGTAAGTATTGGTAAGTGTGAAGCTGACATTTAGTTTAATATTTTTGTTAATTTTCTTTCTCTGTTGTACTTTTGTTCTTGTTGCTTCAGTAGAGTTAAAAACAAGTGATAGTGATATGGCAATTAAGTAGAGGTTATAAAGATATGAAGTTGGCAACTAATTCAACTGGTATAAGTGTCTAGAGACAGAATTGATCTTAAATGTCCTTAATAAGTTAAATAGAAAAGTAAAATACTTGGCTGGGTTGAAAAAATAAAAAAAAGAACAGAACAATAAAATTTAAAAAAATAGGGAATGTCTTTTTGAGTTATATGTAATTACATAGTTCAATATTGATTAAATTTTAAAGACATAAATCTAAAATACATTTTAGATTGTATTTCAAATTGTCCAAAGGTCTTTTTCTGCTTCAAACCACAAATTAATAGCATACGAATAAAGCTGAGGTTGATTGATGCCAAACTCAAACAACATATACAATGGATTTATATCTGTAAAATATAAGCTAAGCCTCATTTACTAATAACCACAAGTGACGTGTAATCAATGTATAATTAAGTAGTTAAGTAGATAATTAGCTTTTGTGGGATGAGGTATAGATGCCGCTAGAACCTCAAAACTTCTAATTGTCTTCCCAACTGCTACATCTAGCTTGGCATTTAGCCTTCTCCCTGATACAAAATCTCAGATCTTGCTGGGCTTAAATTTACCTTTGATTTTTAAACGGGGAAAAAAGCGTAAAGAAGAATAACTGAATGTGTTCTTGGATTTTATTATCAATGTTAATAAATGTTTCTAAAAGAATATAGTTATACTATATCAATAATTTTTTAACTTCCTAATTTTTTTTTTTACTAGATAAGCATCTAATTTATTTTTATGGAATTCTTTTCATATAACAGGGACAAAGCAAACAGTACCGAATACTTGGGCCCTCACCTGGCAATAGCTTTTATTCACTGAGCGATCAGTGGCCTACTCCTCATAAAGATGCAAGGCGGTCTTCACCTTAACCTTGCACATCCTAGGTCCACAGTTAAAGGACCAAGTTAAAAGTTGACAGCCTTAGTCCCTCGTAATCCAGTCAATTTGGGGCCAAGTTATTAAATGTAAAGTACTTGTGGTTCCTTGCCCACCGTTACCACCCACTACTTAGATGCTCAGTACCTGAAGTCCACGTTAAGATCTGACATCAACAATAGAACATGGACTGTGAACGGGTGACTTGTGTATTTAGGTTCCTTATTGTTAAATCCACCTATGTATAAAATCATCTTCACAACCACGTGTTTTAATATGCTCAAGCCCCAGACCTGTTACACAGGACCTAAATAAGCAGTTCACTTGCATGACAGTAATTCTAAATAGGTGATGACATCACCTTAGCGGGGAGTTAACTTTCAGCTGTCTTACACTGTCTCTGACTGAACCTCGGTTATCTCCCTGACCACTGAGGGACGACAGCTTGGGATTTAAGGGAAGGCACAACCTTCCCAGTGCAACCCAGGGAAGTCAGAGGAACGTATGGGTGTACCCGCTGGTCACTCACTGCAGAGGCTACAACATCCTCAACACCCCCCCCCCACCACCACCTGGACATTTCATTCTTCGTGTAATCAGTGCCTCGACTAACCTTTTGGGCACCTGGGACCGGTTTTTGTGTTAGACGCCGGGTGGGGTGGCGGGAGGCAGAGCTCAGAGATGGTGTGTGGAGCTACTGTAAATACAGACAAAGCACCTTCCCATGCTGCTGCGCCCCGCGGCCCAGTTCCTATGTTTCAGGGAAGACAACTTCCCCAAGGACTAGAGGGGGATGAGGGAGGCGGAGCTCTGCGGCCCAGTTCCCAACTGGCGGCGAACCGGTACCAGTCATCGCCAAGCGTCTGGGAAACCGCCCATCCGCAACAGCCACGACAGCCACCGCCATGTCGCTTGCGGTTAAAAGGGCCGCCCGCGGAGAAGGCCGGCGGCCCCAGTTATACGCAAGCTTGTGCTCTGGCGCTGCAGCCTGACCCCCAATTTCCTAATTTTTAAGAGTATAAATAAGTCTTTAGAATGCTGAATGACCCATGTATGACATTTTCATTAATAAGGGAAATAATAGTAAATATTTTATTTATACGAAGCTAGTACTACTTTTATTATTTTATTTAATTCAGGTAACTGTATTGTATATACCATTATGATACATACTTTATAGGTGAGGAAACTGAATCTTGAATGTTTAATATTAACTGCCTGCTTTATGGCCTATATGCTGCAGAAATATTTTATGAGTAAACAGAAAAATAAATCGTAATTTTTGTAGGCTTTTCTTTGCAGGGAGGGACAAACTTCCATATGGTTTCATTTTCCAAGCATTCAATTTGGTTTGATGTTCAGTTTACCGTAAATATCCTTTTAAGGTTTATATTTGCAATGCAAGTCAAGAAGTTGTAACCATTCATTCAGCATGTAAAAAACCAAACACTATTTGATGACTGTGGCAGGAAAGAACAAGAAAATAAACTTTATTATCCCTCTATCGATACCTACATTTCTTCTTTTTTTTTTTTAATTAAATCATAGCTGTGTAGTTGATACAGTCATGGGGTATGGCGTGCTGTTTTCATATACAATCTAAAATATTTTCATCAACTGGTTAACAGCCTTCATGTCATTGTCTCAGAGTTGTACTCGTCTAAGCAAACATGGACAGAAAGTCATGTTTGGGTAAACATTTTCAGATTAAACATTTGATTATAAATTTCTAAAAAGTTTTGTTATTGCTTGTACATTGTAGTTAGTACAAGCTACTATTGATAGAAGACGTTAGCAAAACTATTTCTTTGTGGTTGAAGAAGCTACTGGTGATTCTTGCTTGCTGCAAACATGACTTGGAGGTGGTGCTCCCTTCATGATTCACAAGACGTGTATGTTATGGACCTAAATGTAATTAAGTGAGGCTTCCATTAAGATTGGAAAGCCTAAAATTGTGACATATATTGTTCTTTCAAGTTCATATTAATTTTAGATGATATTGAAAGAGAAGTTCATTTAAGTAAAAACACTTACATCAGGGAAAAATCACCAGTCTATTCAGTTACGCAGTCTCTTAGATAAGCCAGTCATTAATTCAGCAGTTTAAAAATACTGTGTACAAATAAATTATGCATCAAGCTAATTATCTTTCTCTAGAACTGAATGAAATCTTCTGTGTTTTGAAGATGAAAGAAGTTAAAGGTACAGCAATGTAATTTGTCATAATGTATTCTTATTTTAAAATTTTATTTTATAATTCAAATATAGTAATTCTGGATTTATGATTGTCTGATGATTACTTTTTATTACTATTTAGAAATTAAGCTTTATCAGAGATATAAGAACAAAGTCTGAGCTTTATTCTGGGAGAAAAGGAAATACAATAAGATAGCTAGATTCTATCTGTAAAGTGGAAATCCTGCGGTCTGTGGAAGATATTATCGAGTAACAGTTATGGGAAAAATGCTTCACCTCCAAATCACTTAAAAAATCCAGATAAAGTAATAAAGAATGCCGGATTGCTGAAATTCTGTGTTTGTTCAAAGCTTACCTATCATTATCCTAACACACGTATGGACTTTTGACTTCAGATATACTGAAACAAAAATGAGGAGTTATAATAAATAATTCTTCCCTGATGGAGTTATAATAAATAATTCTTCCCTGATGTATAAGGCTGAGTAGTCAAGTGCACTGACGGTGTGAAATGCATCGAACATGAGAAAGGGTAAAATGGCAGGAAAGGAAAACAAGCACAAGAGCACGAATCAAAGTGATAACAGTAAGCCGGGTAAAGATTCTTCCAAGTACAAAATAACAAGTTTCCCGGACCTCCACCGAAGAATCTTCTGAAAGAGACATGGTGCATGAACCTGAGTGAGACTGTAGAAGTTTCCCTTCCTAGACCCCTGTAACTATATATGCCATTTCTTGTTAATGAGTGAAATAATAGTAAAGATATATATGATAAGCTAGTACTATTTTGCACTATTTATTTAATTCATAAAACAGTATTATATAAAATATACTATTATTATACATACTATATCTGAGGCAACTGAAACTTTGTTTAGTAGCTTAGATACAGTCTCAAAGCAGTTAAATGGTGCAGATGTAATTCAAACTCAAATACATAGGACTTCAGGGCTTCTAGTTGTAAACACCCTGCTAGGCTTCCTCCTTTTACGAAGGAAAATAATCTATTACGTAGTTACCCAGTTTGGAGCAATGAAATCTAATCAGTTTGATTATTTTTGTTGTTTTGCTGTGTTTTTCTAGTTAGTTCTAGTTCTAGTTCTTTTATAAAATTTGTTGAATTCTTATAACTTTTTAAATGTATGGAACAGATAAAGACAGTTGCCAAATCTGGTAAGAATTGTTGTCTAGAATATACAACGAATTCTTCAAACACAATGATAAGAAAATGAACAAACCAACCAAAAACTGAGTTAAAAACCTGAACAAACACCTCATTCAAGATGATTTGCAGATTGCAATGAAAATGATGTTGGAAATATATTCAACATCATATGAGTATGACATTCTGGAAAAGGCAAATGTATAAAGACATAAAAAAGAGTAGTGGTTGCTAGGGGTTATGAGAGACAGAAATAGATGAGTACAAAGGATTCCTAAGGCAGTGAGACTATTTGTATGCCACTACAATGGTACGTACGTAACATTGCATATGGTTTAAAGCCCATAGAATGCACACTATTGTTCATGCATCCTAATATAAAATACAGACTTTAGGTGATAATAAGGTTTTAATGTAGGTTCATTGATTATATCAAATTTACTGCCTTTGTGCTGGATATGAATTTCAGGGAAGGTTGTGCCTTAATGTAGACAGAGGGTACAGCAGAGCTCCCTGTAGTTTTGCTGTGAATCTAAAACTATTTCTAATGATTAAGTACTTTAATTTTAGAAATTACTGGTTACTACATGAAGAATGTATTGTTAAGAAACAAGTAGAGAGAAAGAGACAATTGTTAGCAGTTTTTAACTGACCATTCAGGTGGTACCTCTAGATATCAAGAAAAGTAAAGGGAGTCTCACTGTATCCTGAAGGAAGATCTAACAGGCAGAGATGGATTGCTTGCCAAAAATAAGAACAAAGAAAACAATCAAAAATTACTCTAAGATTTTAGTTTAAGAGTCCAGGTAAATGATGGTAGTACTTACAGGTAAAGAAACCTGGGAAAAGGAAGCATAAAGAGAAGAGAATATTATAGAGTTTTGGTTTCTACTGCAACCAAATGCCTGGGTTCTTAAGTCAATCTCCACCACCAAATAGGTGCACGGTCATGGGAAAGTTATTTACTGTTTGCTAAACTCAGTTTTCTCTTCAGTAAGGTCTTGATGATATTACTACCTACCTCAAAGTGTTACTGTGAAGATTAGATGAACTAATGTATGTAAAGACTTTAGAACATGTTTGTTCATAGGATGTATGACAGAAGAGATAGTTTACAGGGAAAACATAAAAAGCCATTTTAGTTGCCACTAAGAAGTTGAGTTAGAGAAAGAGCTCATTATTAAATCAACTATTGTTTTTGGCTATGTGATAGTAGCTTTTGCATTAAGGAAGCAACTTCAGTTGAGTAGTAAGAATGTGAGTCAAGTTAGACTGGGCTAAAAAAGTAAATGAAAGGCTATCAATTGAAGGTATTATGTGTATATAATTTTGTTGAGAAGATGCGTGGTGAGATGGGGAAGCGTGCATAGGAATAAACAAAAGGAAGGTGGCTGGAAATGGATTGGATTAAAGGAGGATTTTAGTGAGATGTAGACACTAAAATACACTAAATAAAATCTGAGTAAATTCATGACCAAGAAAATAAACTATTCATTATATGTATACTGGCCCTTTGATAAAGCAGACCTAGTTTTCTTATCAATATATTTTATTACAAAATCATTATTAATTATAAAACATCCTTGATTAAATCAGAACCCATTGTACTACAAGTCTCCAAACCAAATCCATACTATCTGAAGCTAAATGAAAAATGATAGATTGGCTCACATAACTAAATTGCTTGAGTAGAAGAATTACCTTCCAATGTGAATACAAGGTCAGCAATAATAACGATCTATGTCTCTGTCAACACTGCTCATGCATATACTATTCGAGGGTTTCGTACACTAGGACTCATAGTCCATCATGCTTCTAGCTCAGAGAACTAGGAGGATAAGGAGTTTTTGTTTGTTTTATTTTATTTTATTTTTAATAGTTCAGGTGAAGACCTTCAGAAATCTCTGGCTTCCCTCGTTTGAGAATTGTGCCAACCCCTGAAAGCAGCCAGGGGTGTAGAGTGTTTTAATTTATTTCTAGTGCATCAAATATCTATTTATGGAGTTAGGATAAGTGAACTTAACATCAACCTTAATGAATAGGATAAAACATGTTTATTTTGGAGGGGAGAGAAGTAGTTCCCCAAGAGGTATAGGCATGGTAAACAAAGCAAAACAAAACTAAAATATGTCGGTTCTGGTCATCCAATCACGGATGGTTAACTGCCTCAGTCATGCTCTCCTGTCTTCTTAACTTGAATTTTGACCATTTTTGTCCCTTTGTGTGGTGCACAGGAGATGCGCCACCAGTGTGTGTATTTGTTCTATCCCAGTTATATACTGCCAAGGCTTTACTGCTATGACTGTAACTCATTGTCCATTTAGATTCTAAGGTTTTCCTAAACAGTATTTCCTTTCCCTTCATTATTCTCATTCCCTTTGTTTTATTATGTAGTTACTGTTTTCTTCCTCACTCAGTAATTACCCTTTTTCTGGCTCCTTCCCAAAGAGGCTGTATTTATTATGCTCTCCTTGCTTCTCCCTTCCTGACTGCTGTCTTCCTCCCTATTCTATTTTATATCAACTACTTACATCTAAAGAGAGATTCCAGGGCATATGCTATCATTTCTGGGCCAACCACTTCCTTGAATCAGTGGACAATTCTCTCTACACAAGAATATGTATATA